CCTGCCTGCCTTCCTCCCTGCCTCCCTGCCTCCCTGCCTCCCTCCCTGCTTCCATCCCTGCCTCCCTCTCTCCCTGCCTGCCTTCCTGCCTGTTTGGGATCCAACCTAGAATGAGAACAAAAATCCCCAAGTAGCAGGGAAGTCAGACAGGGCAAAAGCAAGAAAAAGCATTTATCTTTTAATCCCCCAGCAGGTGGGGAAGACCTGGCATCCCTTCTGAGGCTTGAATGCAGGCTCCCAGCATGCCTGAATCTACAGGGAGTAAGATGTCTCTAAGGAGTATAAATTTCTTGTCTGGAAAACATTTTGTTAAATCAGTTTATAAAGAGCTACATGAAGTGTCCCTGGCTCTCTGCCAGTCATGCCTTGGAATAAAGAACTTTCTAAGAACCAGAGCTGATATTCAAGGATGGCATGGGCTGTTATAAAAGTCAGTGTGCACAGTGGCTGGAGGGCCACTGGGGGGTAATGTTTAGACATTTGTCTCCTTTTTGGGGGGTGAGATGGGCAATTCTATACTCTCCTGGGAAATTCCAACATCCGGGATGCAGGGGATTCCATATTTCCGGAGTCCTTCTAGAAGCCTCTGCCGTTCTTAGTCCTATAGACCTGAGATTCCCTACTCTCTATTTACCCCATCCTCTCCTTCCTTAGATACCAAGAAGGACCTAAAGCAGATAACCAACCACCTGCTTGACATGCTGGTCAGTAAGAAGGTGTCTGGCCAGGGCAGGGACCAGGCCATGAACCTGCTCAATAAGAACGTCCCCAGGAAGGACCTCGCCATTCACGACAACTCACGCACCCTCTATGTGGTGGATAACGGTGAGGAGGTGGGAGGGTCTGGGGCTCGCTCCAGCCTTTCACGTGGGCACCAGAGTACCTGGCACTGAGCAGACGGCAGAAGAGGTGTGGCCCTTGTCTGGGAGAAGTCTTCAGTCCCAACTGAAAAGCCAGGAAAAGGCGTTAGCGGTTAGAACCCACCAGCAGGCTGGTGGGGATACCGATCAAGACTGGGCTCTTAATTCGGGGCCCGAACACACCCGAAAACAGCTGGGCAGAGTTACCTGACAAGCGGGGGCAATGCCAAAAGCAAACAGGATCCCACCAACCATAGGATAACATTCCTGAAGTCCCTTGGTTGGCAAAATACTTCACAGGCCTTCTGGAAGGGAGAATTGGCATCTACTGTCCCATATATAGGTTCTAGCAGATGGCCATTATGTGTCAGCTCTGGGGGGGGGGGGTTACCCTTCTCCCAAGTCAACTCTAATTGTTCAGGAATCACACCCATGGCTTTATCATCTACTGTGACGAACTCCCACAGGTTGGATGACATATAGACCATCCTTTGATCTACAAGGTTCAAATTAGCTTTCACCGGCTTGACACGTATCCTCTTGTGATATTGTGCTTCCTTGTTTGGTTTGCACAGATCTCAACAAAGTGCACTTTAACAAATGACTCTAGTGCTTAAACCTTCTCCCTCAACACTTCCCCTCCCCTTCCCAGTTCTGGTCTTTTCTGCATCCATTACAAAGGGTGAACAGCAGACCTCTTTCTCTCAGTGAGAGGACCTGCGTCCAACCACAAGCTAATGGGTAGGGCAGGTGGGAAGCAATATTTGTTATTCCAGGCACCAAAATAAGTAGCTCTTGGGTAAACAGAACATGGATGTACAAATCCTGTCATACTAGTGAAAAGATGCCTTGTTGAGGTTGTGTGTTGTACAAGCTGGTCTGGGAGACTTGCCTTGGGAACCATCAGGACATCCAGCCGAAAGTGAGCGTTTGGGTTCAGGGAAGGGCAATGATGGATGAGGAAGAGGTCCAGAGTGTCCTAGAGGAAGAGGAATGAGATGCTCAAAGCATGTGTGGGAATGGAAGGGAAGCATGGAGGATGGGCATTGGGGAGGTGGTGGGAAGTGAAGCAGGTGCATTCAGTGGCTCTCTTTGAGAGCCGGGCTGGGAGTTTGGGTTGGTTCATCAACTGCTTCCCATGACTCCCCAGCCCTGCCGGTGCTTTTGTGCGGGTGGTAAAGTATGCAGGGCAGAAAACATACTGCTGACATTTTTTTTAAGTTTATTTATTTTGAGAGAGAACGTGCATGCATGCACACACAGGGCAGAGAGAGAGAGAGAGAGAGAGAATCCCAAGCAGGCTCCACGCTCAGCACAGAGCCCAATCTGAGGCCTGATCTCACAACAGTGAGATCATGACCTGAGCTGAAATCCAGAGCCAGATGCTTAGCCAACTGAGCCACCCAGGTGCCCTTGAGCACTTTTAATTCCCTCCTAACATCCAGAGTTTCTCGCCTCCCAGCATCTACCTCTTCCCACTTATCTGCACCAGCTAAGGTCTGACGAACTCCTAGCCACTCCTAAAACCTGGCTCCAAAGTCAAGCTCTCAGTTATCCCAGAGGCAGCATAACATAACTGTTAATATCGTGGGCGTTGAAATCAGATGTTGCTGGGAGAGCGCCGTTACAATGTCACTTGCCAGCTGCAAGTTGCTTTTGGGCAACTTAGTTGACTTCTCCATGCCTTGGTTTTCTGCTCTGAAAAATGGGAATTATGATTTCTAACCAGTAGTTTTTTGTTAGGATTAAACGGGGTAATGTGTATGAAGCTCTCGGCACATAGTAAGTGCTCAAAATAATTTACAACTCTTTGTTGGAGCAAATCACCCCATCTGCAGTGTTAACCACTCTGTCTTTATCACACCTGCTGTCCTCATTACACCTTACTATAATCTTTATGTGACTGTTCCTTATTGCGTTTTGAACTTTTTGAGAAGAGGATTGTGTCCTTTATTTCAGTATTCAGTGCCTAAAAATTGCCCGTTGATTTATCCACTTATTCATTCATGTATTCAACAAATATGCAATGATCGAATTAACCTGATGGGTAATAGGAAGTCACTGAAGATTCTTCCACAGAAGAGAGAAGAGATAGCGATCATAAATAGCGAATGTAGCAATTACTAAATAAATAAAATGATGTGTCTGGATTGGCCCCAAATGGTTACCACACATCACCTCACTGAGTCCTCAAACTCTCTGTGGTAGGTAGCAGTGTTCCCATTTTACAGAAACTGAGACCTGGGGAAGAGAGAATATCAAATAGTATTTGAGGAAGGCTATACCATCGAATGTTAACACTGGTACTCAGTCCTCTGAGATCAACTACCACAGTGGGAGGTGGATTGCTCACCTAGGGGCAGAGTTAGGTGTAGAGCCCGGGCCTCTTGGCCCCATTTCAGTGCCCTTCACTCTGGATAAGCCATGTGCTGTGTAAAGGCAGGCTGGAGAGAAGCTGGCGTTAAGACAACCGAATGAGAGGGGTGTGTTTGAGGAGAGACCCAGCAGGAAGCTGACACTTGCCATCATCTGCCCTGCAGGCCTGAGGAAGATCTTGAAGGTGGTGGGGCAGGTTCCAGATCTGCCATCCTGCCTGCCTCTGACTGACAACACCCGCATGCTGGCCTCTATCCTCATCAACAAGCTCTACGATGACCTGCGCTGTGACCCAGAGCGTGATCACTTCCGCAAGATCTGCGAGGAGTACATCACGTGAGTCTCCTGGACGCCCCGCGGGGTCGGGCTCTGTATTCGTTATCAATGGCTGTGTAACAAATCACCCCAAAATGGAGCAGCTTAAAATAACAGCAACTGTTTATTATCTCACAGTTTGACAGCAGTTTGGGAGTGGGTAGGCTGGGTGGGTCTGGCTGTGGGGCTCTCACGAACTTACAGTCACATGTCGGCCTGGGCTGCAGTCATCTGAAGGCTTGACTGAGGCTGGAAGATCTGCTTCCAAGGTGGTGCACTCATATGGATGGCATGTTGGTGCCGCTTGTTGGCGGGAGGCCTCGGTTCCTCCCCGTGTGGACCTCCCCGTGTCATTACCACGTGGTAGCTGGTTTCCCCTAGAGTGAGTGATTCAAGAGAGCAAGGCCGAAGTGGCGATGTCTTCTGTCATCTCGCTTCAGAAGTCACACACGATCACTCCCACCACATTCTATGCATGAGAAGCAAGTCATTAAGGATGGTCTACATTTAAGAGGGGGGGAATTTGGCTCTACCTTTTGCACAGAAGAGTGTCAAATATTTTGGGGCTTATTTTAAACCTACCACAAGCTCCTGTGGTTGAAGGAACAAATGTCCGCTTATCAAGGAGGGAGCAAGACCGGGCTTTGTCAGGTTTAAGCACTGTGTGGCCTTGCAGAGACTAGACAGGAGCCTGGGACTCTCAACAGTGGAATTCTGGGTCTCCCCACTGTCACTCAACCATCATTGTGACTCAGATGCTCTCTCTGCGTCTCCGTTTTTTTTTCTGTGTGCCCTCTCCCATTCCCTCCCACTGCTACGCGGTCTTTTAACCCTTTATTCCAATGATCCTCAGACTTGGAGATTATTCAGATTTCTGGGACCCTACTTGACTCAGTAGTCTGGGATGTGGCTCAGGAAATTACATGTTTAAAAAGTATCCCAGGTGAGTCTTCGGAGAGTGGAGTCACTCTGCTTTTCCTTTCTCCCCTCCCGGGGTTGGCACAGTTTTCCTCTAAAGGGCTGGAGGAAATATTTTATATTTGCTGGGATGTGCAGCCCTCTAGTGTATACTTTAAAAAAAAAAACCTTTAAACCACGAAAACCATTCTCAGCCTCCCGGACTTGGCCAAGCAGCTGAGGTTTGCCAGCTCCTGCTCAATCCCGTCGCTTCACCTGACCCCCGAATGTTTCCCTGAAAGCTCTTCAGGGCTTCTCTGGTCTTTCTCTACCTCAGCTTCAGCTTTGGCAGCTAACTTCTTGAGTCTCTCATGAGGTCCCAAATTGAGTTCCAGTAACTGTCACCCAGCCAGACCTTGTGAGGGCCAAGGATTTTGAAGGAGGGCCCCTCCCAGCCAGCCTGTGGAATGTTGCCTCTGCACAGGCCTGCCCCTGGACCAGCCACCAGCCCCTGGACCAGTCATGGAGGTTGAGTGAGTCTCTGAGGCGCCTGAAGAGACCTTCCCCCGCCCCCCAGCACAAAGGGTGTAATCCCTACCCTGCTCTGTCAAGGGCCGGGGTGAGTGGAACCAGCACAGAGGGCAGACCTGACTGATTGTGAAAGGCTCTGGCTTCCCTGGCGCTGAGTGGAGACAGGAGGTACAGGATGCAGAATGTCAGAACCGGAGGGGCTCTCGGAGCTTCCAAAGCTGCCTTCTCTCCGACAGGGACTTGCTCAGGTCATCCAGCCTCGCAGAGGCAGATGTGGGACCAGAGCCCGGGTCTCCGACTCCTGCTTGATCTGAGGTTCTCCTGCCTAGTCCGGGTCGCCCTCTTTCTTTCATTCGTAACAGCTGCATTTCCACTGTGCCCGTCTGCCCTGATCCCTCCCATCAAACCAACCGTGGCAGATCACCAAAAGATCAGAGGACTTGTCATGAGTGACATCCCCATGCGGAGATTCTCCCACAGGGTAGATGGTCGTAGATTCCAAAAGCAAGGCAGAAGCCTCACCCACTGGGGGAAGGGACCGGGACCAGACGGGGGAGTCACCACCTCCGGCTACTGCGTGACTTGGTCACATCGCAGAGTGATGCAGCGTGCCGGGCTCCACGGTAGGCCCTTTTGTGTTGCTGTGGCTGCTGTTCTGTCCCACTAGACGGCCCAGCTGCTGGGAAGCCTGTTGACTGACAGCTGTCACCCGCAACCTTTCCTTGGGACTTGCCTCAGCTGGGGACAGCCGCGTCACCCTTCCCAGGGTGGCCAGCATCCAATGACTTGTCCCTCCCCCCCAACTAGAAACAGCCTGGGCGTGTGTCCCAGCTGTAGCACTCATTATAGGCGGAGGCTTTCTGGTGACTGAGTCGCAGCCTAGCGTGTCCCAATGCTCAGTCTTGCTCCCTTCCCTTCTCCCCCATGAGCTGATCCCAAGAACTCTCCCTAATAAACTTCTCACATGTCAATCCCCATCCCTCTGAGGGTGCTTCTTGGGGGACACAGCCCATGGCACGTGTGTTATATCACTTGTCCTCGTCATAACTCTGATAAGTAGTAAGACTACTACTGTCCGTTTATGGGTCAGGAAGCTGAGCTTCCGTGGATTGCCCAAGGTCACCTGGCACACGAGTGGTGGATCCGGGTTGTGAATTCAAGTCTGTCTGCCCCTCAGATCCCACACTCTTCCCACCCACCTTCAGCCAGTTCTCTTAACCACCTTCCCTCTATTTTAGGAGCAAGTTTGACCCCCAGGACATGGACAAGAACGTGATTGCCATTCAGACAGTGTCGGGGATCCTGCAAGGCCCCTTTGACCTGGGCAATCAGCTGCTGGGACTGAAAGGTGTGATGGAGATGATGGTAGCCCTGTGTGGCTCGGAGCGTGAGGTAGACCAGCTGGTGGCCGTGGAGGCCCTCATCCATGCCTCCACCAAGCTCAGCCGCGCCACCTTCATCATCACCAATGGCGTATCGCTGCTCAAAGAGATCTACAAGACCACCAAAAACGAGAAGATCAAGATCCGCACACTGGTGGTGAGTGTTGGTAGCAGGCTTCGTGCCGGGGCACCAGGGGCACCAAGATGAGCGAGGGGTGGCCCCATCCGTGAGAAGACCGTGCAGTAGGGGGCGCTCAGCCCTATCCATGGGCCCCCGCAGAGCAGGGTGATAAGTAGGAGGCTGTGAGAATGGAGATTCAGGAGGGTGGGCGCTGCTGTTTAACCCTGGGGACCTTTGCCTCCACGCTTTTCAACAACACTGACCCCGAGGAGCTTCTGTCCAACCGGTATTTTCAGAGCAAACTCTAAAAAGTCAGTTTGTTTCCTTACTCAGTTTCTAGGTGGCACAGATGACCGGCTTCACTTTTTCCAATTTCATTTAACAGAAAGTATTTTCGTGGGTCTTTTACTTTGCTTGTAAACAATTACAGTGAGGATCGGAGTCATTGATCTGTTTTGTGGTGGTTGTTTGTATCAGTTTTTAAAACAAGCTGGTTATAGCTTCTGCCACCGTGAGTTTTCTCTTACGGAAGGCCTGTTTTCCCAATAAGAGTGCAGTTTCTCCCTGAGGAAATTCTGCACGTCTGAGTTTGCTACATACAAGGTCTGTCTGCCAATATCTTTCGCCATTGCAGTTTCTGATAAGATTAGTATTGTCTTGTGCTCATTTTGCAAGACAACAGACACAGAGCCATCTGTGGGGTCAAAATGGTGGTGGAAAGGGGCAGAGTAAAAACTCCAGCGTTTGGGAACATCTGCCCTATCCTGGAAGCCTCAGCGAAGGCATCTTGGAAGAGGTGACCCCTGAGCTGAGGTTTGTAGTATGCACAGAGGTTTATCGAGGCAAAGAAAAAGGGGCAAAGGGACGAGTTTGAGCAAGGCCTTGTCCCCAAGTGTCTCTGATTCTACCAGCGTGTCCCTTCCTCCTCAGGGGCTCTGTAAGCTCGGCTCTGCAGGTGGTACAGACTATGGCCTCAGGCAGTTTGCTGAAGGGTCGACAGAGAAGCTGGCCAAACAGTGTCGCAAGTAAGGGGGTCCTATTTCCCTGGGCCCGCCATCTCCTCTCTGGGGTGTGCTCTAGTGGGGCCACATTGTGAAACGCTCCTCACCTGCTACCCACTAACCTGAAATGGCTCCACCATCTTGACCAGAGCCATGGCACTCTTCCCCAGCGCTCTTCCTCCCTGATTTCCAGGTGGCTGTGCAATGCGTCCATAGATACCCGGACCCGGCGATGGGCAGTGGAGGGCCTGGCCTACCTCACGCTGGATGCTGACGTGAAAGACGACTTTGTCCAGGACATCTCTGCCCTGCAGGCCATGTTTGAGCTGGCCAAGGCAAGTGTGGCCCTGACCTCTGGCCTCAGGAAAGGTCTACTGGATTCAGGCTCACAGGGTCCTCCCCTGAGCCTGAGAAATTGGACTCCTGTGTCTTTATCCTGGCCCTGCCCCTACTGCCCACGTAAACCAGATTGGTTATTTCCCTCTGTCTGGCCCTCATTTTACCTGACCATAAAATGGGCTCATGATTCTTTGTGGCTGCCAGGCAGTGGGAAGATGAATAAGAGGACGGTGAGGTCCTGAGGGACTGACAGCCAGTGGCTAGCCCTTTCTGGGCCCCTCCCTCCTTCCCAGCGCTGGGCCAATCCCTGACTCTTTTCCACCACCAAAGGGAGAAGGAAGTTATCAGGAGGGCCAGACCAGAGGAGTCTAGCCCCCACCCCATCCCATGGCAAAGCGTGTTGGACCGGGCTTTTGAAAGAGGCACAGAGTACCAAAAGGGTGCCCATTTGTGCTCCCAGGGGTGCTGTTGCAGGTGCAGGAGAAATTTCTGCCCACCCTGCTTGAGTAGAGCTGGTTCCTCCTCCCTCTGTGCCGCCTGCTTGCCTCCAAGCTGGGCAGCACCAGCCATATTCCTCCCAAGCCAACTCACCAACCAGGCCAGGGGACCGTCTTGGAAGCAGAGATTTGTTCTAAAGTTTCCTTTCTGCCTTTCCCCTCCTTGCCATCACCCGGTAACTCCAGACCACGGACAAGACTATCCTGTATTCTGTGGCCACCACCCTGGTGAACTGCACCAACAGCTATGACGTCAAGGAGGTAATCCCCGAGCTGGTGCAGCTCGCCAAGTTCTCCAAGCAGCACGTGCCTGAGGAGCACCCTAAGGTGAGGATAGGGATGATGCTGGAGGGTCACCAGGCCAGCTGAAAGGTGGAACCGAAGGACAGTGATGTCTGGGTGCTGTGTGTATGTGCTTGGGAGGATTTGGCACAGGACACAAATAATTTGAAGATGATCATGGCAAATCTCTCCCATTAGGTGATGCTCATTTCCCCCTTACTTAAAAAAAATTTTTTTAATGTTTATTTTTGAGAGAGAGACAGAGAGAGAGAGAGCGCACGCGCGAGCATGAGCGGGGGAGGAGCAGAGAGAGAGGGAGCCACAAAATCTGAAACAAACTCCAGGCTCTGAGCTGTCAGCACAGAGCCTGACGCGGGGCTCGAAGTCACAAACCGCGAGATCATGACCTGAGCCTAAGCCGAAGCTCAACCGACTGAGCCACCCAGGCGCCCCTCCCCCTTACTTTTAATGTTCTATGGGGAGTGGGGAGTGAGGATCCAACCATTAGTCTGAAAAACCAAATGGAGCTACGATGAACATTTTGCAATTTATGTTGCTGGTTTCATGAACATCAGACCGTGTATTTCATGTTTCCAACAATTACAGAAATTTTGTTTCCTGGGATATCTGGCTTTGGGGATCTGGGTGTTAAGTAGAAAGAATGAGACAGGGGAGAGAGGCCTGTCAGCGGTAGCCCAGATGTTACAAAATCTCCTTGGGGCCCTCCCCAGTGATTCCCTGGACTCAAGCGTATGCTTTGTACGTGGTTTGAATATGAACGTATAGATATTTCCAGCCAGTAAAAGATTTAGATTTTTCTAAATCTGTCAGCACAGAGCTCAATGTGGGGGTTGAACCCACAGACCGTGAGATCGTGACCAGGGCCGAAACCAAGAGTCGGATATTCAACTAAATGAGTCACTCAGGTGCCCCCTCCTTGCCTCCCTCTTATTGAGACCCTCATGATTATGCTGGGCCTACCCAGATAATCCAAGATTATCTCCCTGTCTCAAGATCCTTGATTTAATCACATCTGCAGAGTCCTTTTTGCCATGTAAGGTAATATTCACAGGTTCTGGGGATTCGGATGTGGACATCTTTGGAGGTCATTATTCAGCCTGCCATAAGCAGTCAGAAATGCACCACCTTTAGTTCCAACATAGATTGGCCTGGTGCCTGGGCTCTTTCCCCATTGCTACCCTTTTGTCTCCCCAGGACAAGAAGGACTTTATAGACATGCGTGTGAAGCGGCTTTTGAAGGCTGGTGTCACCTCTGCCCTGGCCTGCATGGTGAAAGCAGACAGTGCCATTCTCACCGACCAGACCAAAGAGCTGCTGGCCAGGTGGGGCTGCAGTGGGCCAGGGAATGGGGTCTGAGGGAGCTGGGGATGAGAGGCCGGGCAGGGAGATAGAGATAGCAGCGAAGTCAATGAGGGAATGAGCCATTGGAGGGATCTGGAAAGGAGACGGAGGAGATCGACATTGAAGAGTGATGTGGCAGGGCAGGTCATCCCAGGTGGAGGTTTGCTTCGGGAGGAAAGAGGTCACTGTCCATCCTGGTTAGCTGCCTCCCAGGCCCCGAGTGGGACCTGCTATTCCAAAGATGGGGAGGCAGACAGGCTCACAGGTACAATACGATGCATCGGGTGCCATGATGGGGCAAATACAAAGGGTTGGTTGGAGCACAAGCAGTGGCACCCACCAGCCAACTGGAGGGGAGGTGGGAGGGCAGCCAGGATAGGCCTCTTGGAGGATGTGGTAACTCAATGGAACCACGAGGTGAGAAAAGGAGCCACCTAAGTTCCAGGGAGGAAGAGTTCCAGGCAGAGGGGACGGAGGGAGAAGGAGTCAGTGAGATGAGATTCTCCTGCAGCATGTCTGGAGCATGGAGAGCACAGGAGGGAGTCATGCTAGTAGGACCAGAGAAGGGGATGAGGGTCAGATCACAGAGGTCCTGGGCTGCATCTGCACTGAAGAGTTTCTCCTGGTTGATGGGCAGCAGGGAGCCATTTGTTGCCTTCCCAAATAGGGATGGGGGCTCTTTGCTGCCTCACTTGGCTTTACTTTCTCCCCAGCTCCTTACATCCATGGCAGTATCTTGCCAAGCTGCCTAATGATGGGGCAGGTGCAGCACTTTCCAGGGCTTCACTGGGTCTGACTGGCTGGCCTGCTGACGCCTGGGAAAGGTTCACATGATGTGTCCTTTATCCTTGCCCTACAGGGTATTCCTGGCACTGTGTGATAACCCAAAAGACCGAGGAACCATTGTGGCTCAAGGTGGTGGCAAGGTAATTGGTGGGATAAGGTTCTTGCCATCCTAAAAGATGATCCACTGGGGAGGAGCAATGGTGTGTGTGTGTGTGTGTGTGTGTGTGTGTGTGTGTGTGTGTGTGTGCATGCTCTTTGCCTGGTCCAAAAATAAAATATGCTTGCTCCAACCTAACCTCCTTGGAACACTGTCATTCAAGTATCTGTCCTGTCTGTGCTTATGGTCCCAAATCAACTTCTGCCTGATTTTACAGTGTGTCATGGGATTTACTGTGGAATCCCATTCATGCTCCTTGCTATGGGAAGGAAGCAAGGTACAGCTACACAGACCGTGGATGTTGCTGTAGAAGACTTGTCTTTGGGTCCTTGCTCATCCCCTTTTTAGCTGGATAACTTTGGGCAAATGACTGTCTCCCTGAGCCCCAGTTTCCTCATCTGTAAAATGGGAGGGGGGATCACACATTCACTCTGCAGAATGTCACAAGGATTACAGAAATACTCTTAAAGTATTGGTTCATAGTAGGTGCTCAGTAAGTGTCTGCCGTGATGATTAGGTTTGACTTAGTCAGGAAGTAAAAAGTCAGTGTGTCGATCTATTTATTTTTCCAAAAACAAACAGTATGGATGGGGAATGTGGGGGAAGACACCAAAGTGTGCTGGGAGGCAGGGGGAGCCATCCATGGTTACGTATTTGATCGTTTTCTGTGATGCTCAAGGGTTGTTTATGTTGTAGAGTCTTCCTGAACTCCTTTCTTTTTTAAGTTTATTTATTTTGAGAGAAAGAGAGAGAGAGGCAGACAGAGAGGGAAAGAGAGAATCTCAGACAGCCTCTGCACTGTCAATGGGGCTTGATCTCATGAACCATGAGATCATGACCTGAGCCAAGACCAAGAGTCAGACACTTAACTGACTGAGTCAACCAGGCGCCCCTAGTTGTCCTGAACTTCTAATGGAATAGGCAGACAGCAGCTAGAGGAAGAGGATGGGGAGAGAGGTCTCTGGATGTCTGTGACCAAAGAGTGACCATGCCCTCTCTTGCAGGCACTGCTTCCCCTGGCTTTGGAGGGCACAGACGTGGGCAAGGTGAAGGCAGCCCATGCCCTGGCAAAGATCGCCGCCGTGTCCAATCCAGACATCGCCTTCCCGGGGGAGCGGGTGGGTGCTGGTGCCGGGGCAGCGGAGGGGTGGGGGAAGGGGGCATTGGGAGAAGTCTCCTTTGCTCCTAGGGGCCTTTGCACCCTACCCCAGGCCTGGGAGGGGGCATGGTGTTGTCACAGAGAGGACAATGAGTTGGAGGTGCCTGGCTCTGCCTCTGACTAATGGGACTGTCCTCTTGGAAACTCAGTTATCTCATCTGCAAAGTAAGGAAAGTAATCCTGCCTCTCAGGATCATTGTGAAGCCTGAGTCAGACAGTGGGTGGGCAAGGAATTTGGAAATTCTAAAGCCCAGCTTCTATTGATGTTTGGGTCTGGGGGAACACGGTCTCCACCCAACTCACTCCTTGACCCCTCCACACAGGTGTATGAGGTGGTGCGGCCCCTTGTGAGTCTCCTGGATACACAGCGGGATGGGCTCCAGAACTATGAGGCTCTCCTGGGCCTCACCAATCTGTCTGGGCGAAGTGACAGACTCCGGTGAGTAGGGTGGGGAGAGAGCAGCAGGGAGAGATGTGCCCCTTGCAGGGTTTGGTGGAAATTTCGTGTACACACCCTGTGTACTTTCCTCTGAGGACAGGATTGAAGGCAATGGGCAGAAACAACAGTGGGAGGGTTTCGAGTTAGCACATAGTGAATGTAGGAAGGCAAAGGATATTATTTCTTTCTGATGGAAGTAGTAAAAAAAGATATCCAGATGGATGGGTGGGGATAAAACAGATTCCTTCTTGGGAGCCAAGGAGATGGTAGAGAGCTTTGGGTTGAGATTCTTTCAGTTGGTTGCAAGTGGCAGAAAACTCAACTCAGAATGGTTTAAGCATAGAGGGGATTTAAGGACTCATGTAAATAAAAAGCCTGGGGTGACCAGAAGCAGGTGCAGCTTGATACAAGGGTTACAAAGCTTCCCCACCTCCCCACTTTTTCTTTACCACTTTCCCTACTTTTCCCACGTTCCTACTTCTGTCCACTTCTGCCTGTGTTGTCTTAATTATCAAATGGGCTCTTCCCCTCGATTGTGATCACAAGGGTTGCTCCAGACCTCACATCTTCTGGGCTTCATAGCCAGCAGGAGAGAGAGAAAGACTCTCTCTTCTGCACCAATAATACAGAAGAATCTCCAGCCTGGTGACATGTTCACCCCAGACCCCATTGCTATGGCCAGGATGTTATGCTATCATTTAGCTTATGCCCTTTGGTGCCTCTCCTGGAGCTGGGGGTGGGATCGGTGTTGTCCAAACCCTGATGAGGGCGTGGGAGGGAACCACCAGCAGGGTGGAGTGGCCCTTGGATGGCCCAAAACTCCAAATGCTCACTCCAGAGGACTCAGTCGCCTCCCTTCCTCCACCTCTCAAACCCTAGGCAGAAGATCTTTAAGGAGAAGGCCTTGCCAGACATTGAGAATTACATGTTTGAGAATCACGACCAGCTGAGGCAGGCGGCCACTGAATGCATGTGCAACATGGTATTGAACAAGGAGGTGAGGCGGGCTCAGGATGGGAATGGGGCAGGTGAACCCAGGAACCCCTCAATCTCTCCCAGATTGCAGTCCTCTTCCCTGTAGGGACTCTGATTGGAATATATGAACCAAGGAGACAAAGAAAAACACACAAAGTAGTATTATTCCTAGCTGGGGCTTTGAACCCACAGTTTGGGCCAGCTAAGGTGGAAGGTACCATTTCCCTAAGTTATTTATGTCAGAATAATCTCATAACAGAGAAGAATACAAGACCAGGGTCTTTTAGAGCTCAAAAGAGGCTAGACCACTTACATTTATTGAAGCTCCACATATATATAAAAAAATGAGAGAGGGGCGCCTGGGTGGCGCAGTCGGTTAAGCGTCCGACTTCAGCCAGGTCACGATCTCGCGGTCCGTGAGTTCGAGCCCCGCGTCAGGCTCTGGGCTGATGGCTCGGAGCCTGGAGCCTGCTTCCGATTCTGTGTCTCCCTCTCTCTCTGCTCCTCCCCTGTTCATGCTGTGCCTCTCTCTGTCCCAAAAATAAATAAAAAACGTTGAAAAAAAAAATTTAAAAAAATGAGAGAAAACACAGTTGTACAAACAACTTTAGAATATTTTAAATGTTAACAGTTTAATGAACTATTGCTGTTTCTATGGAAATTGCAATGCACTATAACTGTGTTCTTCACAGAGTAATTACAGGATTTATAAAAAATAAAATGAATTCAGAACATGCCAATGGCTTCATGGTCCAGTAATGGAGACCAATTATAACCATATGGTAAATGAATGCCTTCTTTCCATCCTGCCAGAGTACTGCTATGCCTGTAGGGATAACCTCATCAGAGGTAACAGTAGGGCCAAAGTCTGAGGCCCTTCATGAACATGAGGGCCAGGCCATGTGTGAGACCCCTGTTTTCCCTTGATTCTTAACTCAGGTCTTGGATCTTCCCACTGGTATACTAGGAAAACCCAACCCATGAAAGCCTGTTGAAGTAAAAAATAAATTTTTTTTCAATATATGAAATTTATTGTCAAATTGGTTTCCATACAACACCCAGTGCTCATCCCAAAAGGTGCCCTCCTCAATACCCATCACCCACCCTTCCCTCCCTCCCACCCCCCATCAACCCTCAGTTTGTTCTCAGTTTT